CATAAGTTATGAACTAAGTTCCTCGGGGGCAAAACAAAGAAAAAAAAGGTGCCATTTGGGAAAGTAATGCTAAGAATATCACATCATCTTTCTCATATATCAAACATGGGTCACACTGCTAAAGGATTAAACTGTTATGTGACCTCTTAGTTAATAACCACTATACCATAAAATAAAAGTATGACACAGGCATTAAAATGTGACAGGAATATAAAATGTTTCAAATAGCTGCCCATAGGAGATTTAGATAGTTAAACTGAGTTCACTGACATTATTTTATATTGTGAAGCAACTAGAATAACTGAATTGGAGCTAGATAAAAGTAGCTAGATAAAAATGCTTGATATCTAGTTATTTTAATAATTTCTCTCACAAATTTAAAAAGAGTTGTGGACTGCTAACTAACATAAAGAAATGTTTTTCCAGTAGAAACTTGACTTATTTAGATTAGCAAATTTAAGCCCTAATAGAATAGGAGACTGAGATTACAAAAAAAAAAAAAAAACCCCTCCGGATATATATTTGATCAAGAATCTAAAATAGATTAAAATCAAATATTCTATTCCATCAGAATGTATATGAAAATAGTACATGTACAAGCTAAAATAAATAATATGTAGAAAAAATGATTTAAAAAACCTTGCTAAACATATTTTTTATAGGATTCTTGATGGAAATGGAAAACCATTCAGAAAACCAAAGGCCAATATTATTTTTAAGGCACTTGATTCAGATAAGAGAAGTAGGGAGAGGTTCTAAAATATCAAGAATTATTTTCATTATAAACAGCATATTCTAGAAAACTAAAGGTAAAAAAGAAATTCGATTCTATTTTATCCAATCTTCCTGGAAGAAATTCCAGCAGCAGCCTGTAATATAAATGGAGTGTGGAAACCAGCTCACAATTGTAGGCCTGGGAAAGAACAACACTGCCTAGAAAATGAAAGTTGATCAAGACTGGAAATATTTTACCCACTTTCATTTAAATCTTCATTTTTTTTTTTCCTGCTGGTTTAGGAAACAGAATACAGTATAATGGGATGGTAGAGAATGTGAACTCTAAATATTTTGAAATGGCCACACTGACATGCTCAATATAATTTTCTGTGACTAAAAAACACTAGGCATTTGATTTGGATATTCTGCCAGATAAAATATGATTTAAGAAACTCAAAAAAATTACTTTTATTTGTGGTTTTTGTCCTCCCGTTATGTAAGATTCACTTTAATCAATTGACAGATGCTTTAAAAAACTATGATGAAATTTAAAAACAATATTACTAAACTAGTGCCCTGCTTTCACTGAAATGCACACCCACCTCATCTCAGAGAGGTAAACATTTATTGCAACATTGAAGACCTGAAAAAGCAGATACTTGCTGCTTTCACGTCTTACTCAATCTGCATCCAAAGGTTCCATGATCATACACACTTTTAGAAAGCATCCAGGCTAAATCATTCATGTAAATTGCAAACCCCCTGACTAGCCAATTGATTCTGACAAGTCAATGCAATTAAACAATGGGGTCATATTGTATTATATTTAAGTTCTAAATAGGCCTTAATTAAAGATATCTAAAGTTTCCTAAAAGGAACAATTAAGCATCACTATGAATTATTTTAAATTATTGTTCTTAGAAGTTTGGTATAACACTGAAATGCTTAAAACCTGAGTAATTTTGATATGTCAGTCCTGTAGTCACTAACCTTCTGGATTAATGCCTTGTTGATATGTAAATTACTAACTTTATGAGGTTTTCAAAGTGATTATTATGCCAATATTTCAACTGGAGTAGTAAGTACCACTAGTGAACATATGCTGTATGCGATTCTTGTGCATTATCTCATTAATCCTCACACCAGTCTTAAGGGTTAAGAATTGCCAGTTTTAAAACTATCATTATAATTCCCATTTTACAGATAAAACAGGGTAGAGCCAATATTTGAACCCAGACATTCAAGAACCTCTGCTCTTTACCTACACTGTGGGCTACAGGTGGCTATTCCTAGGAATGATGGGCTGTTCTTTTTGTATTATAAACAGTGACTGGCCATGGTCGCCTATTTATGATAAAGCTAATCTAAACTAGGTGTTTTAGTCTGAGATTATATGTTATGTCCTGGAAACCAAAGCAGGCAAGAGGATTGAGAATTCCAATAATGATTTTGTTTAACTTTTGAAAATATTAAATCTATAACAAGATACACTATGATCTTGAGTTAAATAACCTAAATTACAAGCATTAAGAACTACAAGTGATCTATCACTGTGGTTTTAGCCTTTTCTCTGACTCTACATATCAGCCAATGACCTACCATAGTTAGTAACAGTGGCCAACATTGTAACCAAGATTCTCAAGGTAAAGAGAGAGAAATGGCCTCCCTTCCTTCAAGGAGCCCATCAAAAAAGCTATAGGTACATATCAAAGCTCCCTGTGTGACTTTAGAGACCTCTCTCCTCCCCCTAGGAAGCATGTTCTCTCATCCCAAAGGTTTGAGAATTTTTGATATATAGAAAGATAATAAATAATAACACTTATTGAATGATTTCTGAGCCAGGCGCTGTTCTAAGAACACATTCAATCTTATAATTTATGAACTATATTAATATTCCCATTTTATACACAAAGAAACTGAGGCACAGATAATTTAAGGAACTTACCCACAGTCACGCATCTAAAAATGGTTGAGCCTGACTCTGAACTCAGAATATCTGATTCTAAAACAGAACACTTAATCACTGTACTATATTATTTCTAACTAGTCCACTGGAATAATTACATAATTATAAGAAAATCATCAAAGCAAATATGAAAACTCTTCAAACTGATAATGCAGTTGCTCTGCCCAGGTCTAAAGAAGGAAAACTTACTTCATAAATATAACAACAATCTAAGATGAACCTTGGCTTATAAAACTGTCCTTTAGGTCTTAGGCACTCTCTCCCTCTATCTGTCTGATTTTTTCATAATTTTACCTTGCTCTAAATAACTATACTAACTAGTCTTGATTGTGTCCAAGTGTCAAAGTGCCACTGTTGTAGAAATCAATTAACTCTAGCACATGCTTTTCTTTTTCAGAATTTAATTTTTCTATTCATTAAAAAAATGATAAATTAAGATGACATATCATGTATTTATTTTAAAAACATGTAAAGGCAGTAACATATGAATGAAGAATTCTTCATTCATGTTATTGCTTTTTAGTCATAATTTGGTCAGAATTATGACTAAATTCAAAGACAGAGATGAATCTCATGAATATCATATCTCACAAAAGAAGCCAGATGCATAGAACACAAACTGTATGACTAAATTTATATAAAGTGAAAAACCAGGCAATCTGACCTATGGCGTTAGAATTCAGGACAGTGGCTACCCTTGGAATGGGGTACAAGGTCGCTTCTGGGGCTCTATCGCCATCTTGTTTCTTGATCTGGTTAATGGCTACACAAATGTTTTATTTTTTGAAATTCACTGAGATTTACAATTAGGTTTTGTGTACTTTTACACTATGTATACTTCAATACAAGAGTTTACATTAAAAGGCAATAGTTCATCCAAAATTCCCATTTTGTTAACTTTACAACTTCCGGAACTTCTCACTTCCAGAAGAATGTAATTAATTTGTTTCATAAATAAAGCTCAAAATATCTCTACGTAAGATGGTAAAATTACCATTTTCTCATCTAGAAAATGTTTTATGAGATATTTTTAAAGTCAGGTTTATTGAGGTATAATTTTGTACAGTAAAATGTGCAGTTCTACAATTTTTGATAAGCATACCCTTTTGTACAACCATCACCATGATCAAGATAGAAGAGCAGTTCCATTATCTCCTCAAATTCTCTCTTTCCCTTTTCTAGTCAACATTATCCCCCAGTCTCTAGCCCCTGGCAACATTTCTCTCCTGATAGTTTCACCTTTTCCAGAATGCCATGTGAATGGAGTCATACGGTATGTGGTTTTTAAGTCTGGTTTCTTTCATTTAGTGTAACATATTTGAGATTCATCCATGTTGTTGGGTGTTTCAGCAGTTTGTTCCTTTTTATTATATTGCTGAGTAGTATTACAATATATGGATATGCCCCAACTGAAGAACAATTGAGTAGTTTCCAGTTTTGAGTGATTATGAAAAAGCCACTACAAACATTAATATACAGGTTTTTGTGTAGAAATGAGTCTTATGTTTTGTTTTTTAATTTCAAGTTATACTTTTACCTGCAAAAAATATTTTCTATATTGCTTTTATGTTAATTCTTATAACTGAAGAATATGCCAACCAGTTAAAAATAATCTAAGATCAGAAATTGAATTAAATTAAATAATGAACATTAGCATAGATCAACTTTTGCAAATTCCTTCATTACAAATATTTTTGTAATAATCTACTGAATTAAGAGAAAATATAGTCTATCAAATTTCTATATTAATAACTCAAAATCCTATTTAGACTACACAAATTAAAAATCGAGGCCGGGTGTGTGGCTCACACCTGTAATCCCAGCAATTTGGAAGGCCAAGGCGGGCAAATCACCTGAGCTCAGGAGTTTGAGACCAGCCTGACTAACATTGCAAAACCCCGTCTCTACTAAAAATACAAAAATTGGTCAGTCATGGTGGTGGGGCCTGTAATCTCAGCTACTTGGTAGGCTGAGGCAGGAGAATTGTTTGAACCCAGGAGGTAGAGGTTGCAGTGAGCCAAGATGGTGCCACTACACTCCAACCTCAGCAACAGAGCAAGGCTCAGTTAAAAAAAAAAAAAAAAGATAGTGCCACTAACTTGGACTCTTGTATCACAATGAATAAAGAAGTAAGAAAGTTGGCTTGAGAAAAAAAGTGTTTTATGCCTCTTTTGAAACTTTCTAATTTGATACATTAAATTTATAATATATTTTAACTCATAATATATTATAAACTTTACCCCACTGGTTAGCACTTTTTGTTCATAGTAACTAGGAAAGGATTTGAGCGACAAAATGGAAACATGGTAGATGTTACCTAGCATGTTGTGGTAAAGTGGAATGGCCCGTCCATGGGTAGTAAATGCAGTCATGACTAGTGGGACCGTTACACCTGCAGGCAATTACAGAACAGAAAACATCATTCTCCATCCACAGTGACATGCACACACATGCACCAGTGCTCACACATGGAGCCTTAGAAGAAGAACATGGGAAGCAAGCACACCAAGTACCTATCCATCAGGCCAATGCAGTCTTCAATACTTGAGCCTATGCACCTGCAGAAGATGCAAATTTAAAAAAATACAAGGAGAGAAAAATTAGTCATTTAAAAAATCAGTAAAATAAATATTGATTGTCTTGAATTCTTATAAATAACTATTAGACTATTTTGGAAAACAATGAATTTCAGGCTAGCAAGAAGATTTTTGCTTGATGAATACACAGAAATGAATTGCTGTTACCAACCAACCGGAATGCAAAGAAATGTCTGCAGTAAGAGAAAATTTTACACTGGTTCTATGAATAACTTCCAAACACACAGCTCACTTCGATACTTGCAATTCATATGTGATTACATGTCTTGACAAATAAGTTAATATTTCAATGACTATAATTGTTTTGAAGTTTATGGTTGCTTCTGAAAAGCCTTAAGTTTAAATACAAAAACAAACAAATCAATAAGAAAACCATGAGCAATTCAATATAATATAATATAATATAATAAACTGATGCTCAATACTCATTAAAGATTGATTTTGGCAGAAAATGAGTCAACATTTTTAATGCCATTTTCATGGTTACTTTACATAATCACATTATTCTGGTTCTTGGTTGTGTCTTTAAAACATACTTATCTTTAAACATGAATTTATTTAAAAAGCAAATTAACTGGTTTCACCATACTGCAGTTTATCTTGACACTCTCTTTTAAAATAGCAATACCGTAACAGGCAAATAAAAATAGGTTTTTAAACTACCATAATAATGAACTCAAACAATAACAGATAAATAAATACTCTGCAAGGAAATGAATAAATTGAGACCCAGGTAAGTAAAAAATACACTGAGATTAACATTTAAATGGAATTAGATAAGTACACAGAATTTCAATGTACTGTCCTTAGAATTTCATTTTGAACTAATATAGAAGTATTATTTCTATCTTCCAATACACCTGAACTGTTTTTCTTTTCTTTTCTCCCAACAAAGACATATAGAACATTAGCAAGATTCTTCCTACACTTATGTTTTATAAAAGTGCCTTATTTCTCTGGTAATAAAGATTACATATATTTTCAAACTTTTAATTTTCAAATTTGAAAAGGAAGCTGAAGTTAGGATCATAATATAATGATGTAAAAATGTCCCTATGTATAAGGCCAGTTTATCTGTTATATCTTTAAATAACTCTAAATATTGGTGAACTAATATAACATACCCATAATAACAATTAAGTCACTTATTTCTCTGTCTCATAAACATTTGTTATAACATTCCTGCTAGCTGAAAAAGTGGTTCCTTTTTTTTTTGTTTTGAGTAGCACAGACAAATTTTAACCTATAGAAATAGAGAAAATACACCTATGTGAAGTCTTTTAAAAAGCATCTAAAAAGAAAAAAAAAAAAACTAGAGTATATAGCATTAAATTGGTATTATATATAATCTATAGTCAAAATCATTTCTAAAAATGGAAAATTAACTACTAAAAAGGCTTCCAGTTTGTCTTACATAGTTTTCTTTTTATTATATTCTAAAGAATTTGCTGTTTCTAAGTTCCTATTCGATCCTCTTAAAAATTATTTTTATATCATATTATCATTTTATAAAATTAAAAGTCTTCTTCTTGCTTCCAAGTGAGAATCTAAAAAGCTATGATTAGTTTGCAATAAATCTTTATAAAAACCCTTGAAAGATCTAAAAAAATTTCAAAAGTGAAATTCAACTTTAGGGAAAAGTGTGAATATGAAAGATTCTCATTCATTAAAAAAAGCCCTGTGTTACAGATCTACTAAGTGTTCCTAGTACTCTAAGAGTTAGAGGGAGAAAAAAATATGAATTAGACATTTTTCTATTCTCAGTGAGCTCTGAATTTAATGAAGGAGACAGGTGCACAAACAGATGTGTATTGAATAATGTGAAAAAAGTAATAAGAAACACGAAAAAGTGGTTCAGGGTAGTGTGGAGGGGGGACACCTAGAGCAACCCAAGAAGGGCAGGTAGGAAGCTGAGGTTTAGAGTGCTGTGAGCTAGGGTTGGGGTGGTGGTGGTTTCTGCAAGAGCAAAAGCACACGCCTGAAGAAATGTATTGTATATGCAAACAACTGCAAACATTTCTTAGTAGTTGGAGAGCAAAACATGAGGCAATAGACAGGAGAAAAAAGAAGCTAGAATATTAGATGGGAGCCAAATTTGGAGAAAGATTTGCTCAGTAACAATCAATAGAAAATCACTGCAGGGTTTTAAAGAAGTAGTACAGTTGCCAGATTTGTATTTTCAATAAATCTCCTTGCCCTGTGGACACCAGTCAACTGGCACCCAGGCTGACTCCTTTGGCGTAAAGACTACTTTAGTCCATGTTAGAGATGATGGACTCAACTAGGGAAATGGTAACTGTGATGAAGGCAGAGGAACAGATTCAAGAAATATCTTAAAAGATAGAGGGAATACAAAAGGGAAGGTGATCCTTGATTCGATAAAAGTGAAAAGATCAACGGAGTTAAAGAAGATTTACATTCTAGCTTTGATAATAGTGGTACCATCATTGAAAGAATCCAAGAGGAAGAATATGTTTCTTCCTGTATGTGTTACGGGATGAGGGGTTGATAATTTCTGTTTTGTGTATGCAGAGTTTAGTATGGTTGTCCTAGGTATAAATGTTTATCATAGGTATAAATGTTTATCAGCAGTTGGAAAGATGAGTGGCTAAGGGGGAAAGAAGGCATGAGTATAATGATCAGTTTTGAAATAGCATGTAGGAGAAAGTTGAAACCATATAAGTGAATAGATGGCTAAAGGAGATATAAAAAAAGAAAAGCAGAGGTTGAAGATGGAAACCCAAGGAACCCCAACAGCATATAACATGAGTTCTTTGTGTCAGAAGCATGGGAAAATATAATTGAAAATTGAATAAAACCAATTAACTGTAGTCTCAAGAAAGTCAAATCAGAAAAGAACTTTAAGAAAAAGGGGGTGATCATCAGTGTGAAATGCAGAGTAGTCTGGTAAAATAACTCTTAAGAGAATTTTAATTGTCATTGTCCTGGTCACAAGAATGTAGGTTTTTATGAGTTGAGAAGCAAATTGGAAATAGAAAAATAGAGGCAGAGAGAAATGGGGGGGTGGGGAGGGACTGAAGCAGCAGGACTTAGGATCAAGAAAAGTTGTTGAAGGGATTTCATAGGATATTTGAGATTTAAGCCTAATTTTAAACTGAGGATGAAAGACAAAGAAAGATAAGAATATGACTGAAGTGCATCACCTTTTCTAAACACAAGCCGCTGAAAACTAAATAATGTATATTGTTTTTCAACTCTTTGTATTTTCTGTAAGCAACTAATTAGTACATGCCATTTTCATCCATTCAGCAAGATCATAGAACAACAGAGATACTAAACTTTTTAAGAGCCCAAATCACAAAGTAATAACTGAATCAAAATCTAGAATAACAGAACTCTAAAAATAAGTGTTTCAAAGTAGAATACTTACAGACAGATCAGAAAAATAAAACACAACATGTGTGACAATTTCTAAAACAATATCTGAAGTTCTGAACATTAAACCTATGTTGGTATATAATGACGTATAAGTTCCTTGATGTACTCCTAACCAACATAGTTTAGATGATTAAATCTTTAAATTTTGAAATAAAAATACAGGAAATTTTTAAAAATTGTTCATTAAAAGATTATACACAATACTTCTACAAGTAGCCCTTCTTTCCATCTCCTTGTCAATAAAAAATCTTTTGTTATATAAGTTTAAGAATTTTTTTTAAATTGATAAAAAAAGGATTGAAGTACACGTGAAATTTAATAATATGAAATCACTATTCTAATATCAACAAAAACATGCAATGAGATTTTTTCAAAAGATGCCCATGAAATAACATTTCGTTACAAGTCTAAAATGCAGGTTTGGTTTGATACAAAACCAAAATTAAACTGACAACAAATTTGCACATACTCAAGTGATGTTAGTGAGGAAACAATCATCTTTGCCCTCATCATAATTTAATTACTTTAGTTTATAAATCTTTAAAAAAATTTTCTATCTTGCTAATTTCAAATCTGAGCATCACTCTTAAGTTTTAAATTATTGCTCATCATTTCAAAATACTGTGGAGCACGGTCTAATGTCTAACAAAGGATATAAATTAGAGAATATACATTCACTGGACTGTGAGTTCATAGAGGTCAGGAGTTGTGTCTTGCTCATTTCTGAATTTTCCTATCACTGTATGTGATGCAGAGCAGATATCCAATATAACAAAGTTGAAGAATGAATAAAATGAGGAAAGGCTGTTAAAATAAAAATTCTCTAGTTAGGGTAAGAAGAGACAATCTTGTTGTTTCCATGGGTATTAGTGAAAATCTTCTGATAAGAGCTAAATGAATGACCTATTTTAAAAGTGTTAGATAACTTGTTAGAGCCATTATATTTAATGTACTTTTAGAGTGGTAAAAGTGCTTTTAAAGTATGACACAGATAACTTTATTTTCAGAAAAAATCATTAAACAGTATTCAAAGTAAGAACTTTACTTCTAAAATACGTGATTTGAAAGACTATTTCCATTAACCTGGTTCTTGAATTATCTGACATCATATAGGCATATAAAGAAAAGCTGTTTTCCAAAGTGGAACTGGCCTGCTGAGCTCACTTACTGATAAGTTGATTATTACCTGTGTTTAGGAATAAAAATAGTCACTTGTTCCATCATCCCCACTGCTCCTGTGGTTTTCCTAGGAAAATATCATTATCTCTATGTGCTCAATTTGGAAAAAAGGGATTGACTGCACAGAACACCTTATTGCTTCAGTAAAAGATCGCAAAGTACAAGGGTTGCACTGTAGTAGAGTATATATGAGGATTTAGGAATTTAGGAATCACATCCTTGGGAAATTTCTGGGACTAGAATACTCTGGGACTAGAACCACAGCATTTTAATGAAGTGAACGAATCTGGACAATATAGAAGGTATTTTAAAAACAACATGGGCCGGACGCAGTGGCCAACACCTGCAATCCCAGCACTTTGGGAGGCCAAAGTGGATGATCACGAGGTCAAGAGATTGAGATCATCCTGGCCAACATAGTAAAACCCCACCTCTACTAAAAATACAAAAAATAGCTGGGCGTGGTGGCATTAGCCTGTAGTCACAGCTACTTGGGAGGCTAAGGCAGGAGAATCGCTTGAACCCAGTAGTTAGAGGTTGTAGTGAGTCAAGATCACACCTCTGCACTCCAGCATGGGGACAGAGCGAGACTGTATCTCAAAACAAAAATGAAAACAGGATGGCAGAAATTTAAATGAAAACAGAGACAAAAATCCTTCAGGATTAAGTCAGTCATTAGAGAATGCATTTACCTTGGAAGATGCCAGGGAGCACAATACTCAAGTTCTGTCTCAACTTAATTCTGCAGCTGCAAATTGCTAAAGTCGTTTTTTTTCTATTCACTTGGAGTTCCCAAATGCTCTAGTGAGATTTGCTCCCCATTACACCTTCATCCTTCCTTTTGACTGAAATCCAGATTTTGTTACTACCATATATTAATCTCTTTTCATTGTCTCTTATTTCTACTTCCCCCCACTATATATGTTTATTATTATTATATAATAATAATTTAAAAGGGCAGAGAGGAAGACACACCAGCCACGTATCCAGACTATGGCTCTGTGATCTCACTTTCATTTCCCTAATGGCTTCATTGTAATTAAATTTGCAAAAACAGCAAAAGGTCTCATTTTGAATGGCAACAGCTGTTGACATCGACATTATATTGAATAATTTACTGGTTTAATTTTAGCTGCAAAACAATAAAACTCTCTTGTGGATGATTTTAGCAGGCAAAGTTTTCTCTGTCTGGTGCTGACTCTTTCTTCTGCTCCAGCAGGACCAGTTGTTTTTTTGTGAAACACTCTTAACTCAAGTGTGCCAAAAACTCACAAGGATAGCAGTTTATTACCTCTAGTTTCTTTGAAGCAAAGTGTCTATGTGACTATTTCAGTACCTTAAACGTATACGTGCTTATATATGAACCAATGAGTTGGCAGCTACCTCTTCCAAGCTGAATTTGAATTTGAATGGGGTAATATTACTTTACCTTTCCAGGATCTGCCACTTCACAGAGTGAATTAAGCTTATTTCTTGACCTGCAGGAAATTGTAGCAGCATCTGCAAATTGATGTTTTCTTGGCAAGGTATGATGTCGCTTGCTTAACTTCTTCAGTATCCCCTAACAACTAGTCCTTAATCTGGCAGAAAATCTCTTTATGGAATCTCACACTTTCCTGCCAGATAAAAAGTACCCAAGCTGATTCTCAACTACAAGTTTGTGTGTGTGTGTGTCTGTGTGTGTGTGCGCGCACATGTCTATGGGCATTCACAATGGAGAAAAGGCTTTATGGACAGAAGGAGGATAGCAAACGTAACACTGCTTTCAATTACAAATTATTCACCTTCTGGAGGAATAAAAAAGAAAAATCCTTACTAAGATAGATTTGTTGTCGGAATTTGTTAGATGAGTGACATTATTTCTTTTACAGCTCAGTGCTTTTCTTCTTTCTGTGATGTGTCTTTGTTATTCAACTGTTATCAATATCAAAGGTAACCTAATTATTATTCATTGCAAAATGCATTTTTTGAAAAACAGAAAAATGTTTACCAAGCTTTAGATTGTCCCATATCAAAGAATTTCAAGACTATAGGATTACCTGTTACAAGGTTACTTTCACAAAATGTATTTCTTTAAATATAGGTATCACTAGGTTCCCTTTCTTCCTGCCATTGTTACTTTGTTCATATGTTTTTGAAGGAGTAATTTAAGGTAGTATATATCAAAGAGAAATATCCTCACCTTAAGCTGATGTCACAACGAAAAAAACAGAAATAGAAGCCTTCTGTTAAAGATTTTATAAACACAAACCTCAAAGCATGGTTACTGTCATTTTTTTTTTGAGATTTTGAATCTCCAATATAATTTGGAAGAGTTTCTAAAATGCATCCAAGGTATACTTGACACTAGCTTCACGAAAGTGTTGATAGAATGGTTATAGGCAAAAGCTAAGCAGAAATATTGAGGAGTGTACAAAGTTGATTCATTAAAACATTCTCTTAGTATTTCTCTTAAAATCAGCATTTTATATATAAGGCTTAGTAGAGTTCTAGGAGAATGTTACACATTTCAGAAACTATACCAGGGATAAGAATACCTGTGGATAACACATACCAGGTAAGTCCCTGGCCAGCAAGGATGCTTACCCTTGCGTGCAGTTTGGATGGCATGGGTGGCACTCCCGATCTGGATCAGCATACTTGAAAATGAAACTGTTTGCCCCCTGTAAGCCATCTGGACATTTTTCCACACAGTTTGGGCCATCTTTAAAATGAGAGCACTTTGTACAGTTGTCAGGACCCTTAAATGTGAAGAAGAAAAAAAAAAGAAGAAGAAAGAAAAGTGGGTGTCATTTCCTCTGGAATGTATTCACATGGTTTAGTTACTGAGAATTCAGTAGGTGGCAAGTCTTCCTCTAAGAGAATTGGAGAACATTTTCAGCAGTACAAATGTGGATGTAATTTTTGTAGTACAAACAGCACAAAGAAGATCCTTCAAGTTCAGTTTTGATATCCTGTATGTGTGAAAACACTATAATAATATATTTGTTCTTGAAATATTTTCCTTTTCGACATAAGCAGTTCCTGGGCCAACTGATTTTCATGTCATGACTTTAATGTGACTTAATTTAACCAGCATAATTATCCAATGACTTTTTCAAAAGAATGTCAGTATTTTCTTTTTGTGATTTAATTCTGGCAATATTATAGTGCCACAATTTTTAGTAAAACACATTTTCCCTGGAGGTATTTCATCACCATCACTGGGAATATGTGAATGCTCTTACTAAATAGTTAATGAGAAAAAGGATATAACAAAAATTAACTAAAACTGAATTTCATATAAGAGTAGGGTGTAAACTTTCCTTTGTTGTACAATGACTTTATTTACAAAATGAATTTTAAAATTTGTTATAACATTATCAGGAATTAGGCAGTTCAGGTGAATAAAAATAATTCCTAGATTATTATTTGTGTCATACCCACTTGTAAAAGCTAAAAGTAATGTTATGTCTTTTTATGGGGATTTTAGTAAATCACAGAACAATACTGAAAGCCATATAAATGCACATTTTGATGAGCAAAATAGACCATAATAATATAGAAAATACATACAAACAAAGTCTCCATGGAGAAATCTATCCAAGGATAAAGATAATATAAATATGAGTATAATAAATATAAATAAAACATACTCTATATAGTTATGTTTATAATATATATTAATTTTCTAATATATAGGATGTTAATAAGAAATAATAATATGAAAATATATCTAAAAGTCATGACAAAATTAAGATGTTAAAACTAAAACATATATGAAGTTTACAGAATACAAGCTGATTTGGATCTGGTACAGTGGACAGTAAGCATACTAGAAATAGGTATATCCTCAGAGCAAAGAAAATTTAGAACACTTTGATGAATGCCATCTTTCTTAAAAGACATCCCCAAAGTTTTCACACATTCAGCTGTTGTGAACATCAGCTACTTGAAATGTACTTTGACATCTCCTTTTTGGACACCTGTTGTCTTAAAATTCCTCTCCTCTTTGACTGCTCCCCTTTGGCACATCTTCCCCTGACCCATTTCTCCCTAAGATCTAGCTATGTACACAGAGTTCAATAATGATTACAGTTCACAATGAAGACAACTTAAATAAATAAGGTAGAGTAACTATGCAGAGAGACAATTATATCACATTTATAGTTATAAACAATGAGAAAGTCAGGAGCTAACACTAAATTACACAGAACTGTGTATTAGGTAGGGACTGTAAAGACAACGTGAGTACCTTATAGTGTACAACAGAGTGTCCAGTGGTTTGGCTTCCCTGGGCCACATTGAAGAAGAATTGTCTTGGGCCACACAAAAAATACTAAAGCTAATGATAGCTGATAGCTGATGAGCAAAAACAAACAAACAAAAAAAACACCTCATAATGTTTTGAGAAAGTTTGTGAATTTGTGGTGAGCCACATTCAAAGCTGTCCTGGGCTGCATGTGCCCACAGGCTAAACGTCGGGCAAGCTTGTCCTCTGCAAATGTTAATCCAAGAGCAGACAGATATTACAAATTGGTTATTTAAGGCATCAGGAAATCAAGAAATATGATATTTTAAAATTTTAAAATGGAGGTGTGTGAATGGAGAATAGTAGTGTAAAGAAGAAAAAGTAATCAGGAAGAGGTTTCTGGAAATTCTGAGACTGGTGTGGTTCAATCAAGCACTGTCTATTTCACTATTTTGATGTGAGGCTCAGAGCTTGAAAAAAAAAGCCTATGAAACCTGATACTTATTCTATATGAGGAATCTGCTAATGGTAATTTCTTATTTCTTCCAAAAAAGAATACTTCACATGCTTCCAATTTTAACACTTGCTCATGGGTACTTAGGCATGTAATAATGTCTATTACACAGAATCACTTACTGTGCAAGTATGCTCAGTACCATGACTTATTGTACAAGACAAGAGACATGCTGATGTCTTCTTGTAGCATACAGAATAAAACTGAGTAAATCAGGCAGTTAGAGTCTGAACTAAGAATTAGGAATTATTCTTCTAAGTAATGTAAATGTATTTTTCTTATAAATGTAAAATCATGTCCAGGTGAAGTCAAAAGATATAAAGTCATGAAAGTAAAATCAAGTTCTGATTTTATCTTTAAGTATACTGTAGTAAGATAATTTACTTTTTGTTTTTTGTTTTTTAAGCATCTTTTAACTATAGTCATGTGACACTTAATGATAGGGATATATTCTGAGCAATGCATCACTAGGTGATTTCATCATTGCGTGGATACCACATAGTGTACCTACACAAACCTATATGGTGTAGCCTACTGCACTCCAAGGCCTTATGGTATAGCCTTTTGCTCCTAGAATATAAACATGCACAGCACGTCACTGTACTGAATATTGTAGGTGACAGTAATACAATAATAAGCATGTGTGTATCTAAACATATCTAAATATAGAAAGGGTACAGGAAAGGCATGACACTATAATTTTATGGGAACACCATTGTATCTGTGGTCCATCACTAACTGAAATGTCGTTTTAAAGTGCATGACTGTAATTGATTGTATTATCATGACAGAAAACCTAATGTTTTAGGCAGACATGACTAAAAACATCCTGGCAAATCTCAGAAAAAGAAACGTACTGATTTTCCATCTCATTTCCATAATAAAGAGACTTTAAAAATGCCTGTGCCTAATGTTTACTCTTCTCTCATTATATTCCCAAAGGCCTTAAGAACCTCAGTGCAATAAATGCATTGATCAATGTGATAATAGAAAATGAAGGTCAAGGCAACATTCCTTCTTATCCCTAATTCTAAGCTACCTCTGAATTCAATGATCTAGGCAGACAATTAAAGGATAGACTGACTCCTTGTAGAAGTACCACTTTTTTTTTTTTTTTTTTTTTTTTTCTGAGTGACCACTGATGTTTTCCTCTGGTAGCTACTGTAAAAGACAAGGTTATTATTCACCAGTAGCTGATTATCTTCTACTTCCAGTCACAAGAGAAGACTGTAATTCTCCTCCCACTAGAGATAAGGTATGGCTTAATTTGGACAATGAAATATAATTAGAGGTGCTCATGAGATAACCAGTGCTTAACTCTCCAGCCTTCTCTTTCCGCTGCCATGACTCACAGACCTCATGGAGAAGTACAAGTGCCATAAATTAAAAGCATCCCAGAATGTTGGGCCATAACAGAATGGGAAGTTGCCTTAGAACATTTCCCAGATTTCCAGTGTACTATACAAGGTGGCCGGGCGTGGTGGCTCACGCCTTTATTCCCAGCACTTTGGGAGGCCTAGGTGGGCAGATGACTTGAGGCCAGCAGTTCAAGATCAGCCTGGGCAACAGGGTGAAACCCCCTCTCTACAAAAAACACAGAAATTAGCCAGGCATGGTGGCACATGTCTGTAAACCCAGCTAGTCAGGAGACTGAGGCACAAGACTCACTTAAGCCCAGGAAACAAAGGTTGCAGTGAGCTGAGATCACACCACCACACTGCAGCCTGGGAGACAGGCTCTGAAAAAAGGAAAGGAAAGGAGAGGAGAGGGGAGGGGAGAGGAGGGGAGGGAAGGTGAGGGGAGGGGAGAGGAGGGAAAGTGAGGGAAGGAGAGGGGAGGGAAGGGGAGGAGAGGGGAGGGAAGGGGAGGAGAGGGGAGGGAAGACAAACAAACCAAAAAAAAAAAAAAAAACCAAAACCAAACAAACAACCATGCATGTTACATGAAAAAAAGAACTTAAATTTATTTACGTAAGTAACTGCAGAATGAAGGTTATTTGTTACAGCAGTGCAACCTTTATTAACCCAACTTTAACAGCTTTTTCACTTTTATAAGAATGTATTTCAAAATCAGTTCCCTTCCTATTTTTTCTCTTCTTTTGCTGCCTTTCTAGCCTCAGTTTTGTTCTTCTGAAACTTTTCTGATTTCCCAGGCTTGCCTTTCTTCTCACATTTTTTCCTTTATCTTTCTGGATAGGACTGCGTAAGAGTAGCGAAAGTAGAGCAGAATGAATAAAATTATAAAAAATTAAATGAAATACAGAAGACCAAGTGTGGACAAAGACATAAAAGCAAAGGCCTTCCTTTATTTCCAATCTAACCCTTTCAAGATTATCTTGGGTTTCTGTCACATTTAAGTGTAATTATAGTATCTCATTTTATATACAGCTATCTTAGTCCCTGAAGCCATTTTATCCCTATTACACTAAAGATATTGTTGCCTGGGAAACAAAAATAAACTGAGAAGTCTGAGAAATTTGGAGTCAGAACTTGTACAGCTGAATCGCAGTTTCATATCCTACTGACTTGCTGACTTTTCGAGTAACTTTCTAATCATCATTCTTTCAATTTCCTTTTTTTAAGAGTCTTGCTCTGTCAACAAGCTGGAGTGGAGTGGTGTAATCTCGGCTCACTGCAACCTCCGCCTCCTGGGTTCAAGTGATTCTTCCCCCTTAGCCTCCCAAGTAGCTGAGACTACAGGTGCATGCCACCATGCCTGGCTAATTTTTGTGTTTTTAGTAGAGACGGGGTTTCACCACGTTGGCCAGATGGTCTCAATCTCTTGACCTGGTGATCTGCCCACCTCAGCCTCCCAAAGTGCTGGGATTACAGGCGTGAGCCACCATGCCCAGCCAATTTCTTTATATTTTAAAGGGAGAAAGTGATAGCATGATTCAGATGTAACTGTGTTTGGTAAACATAAATATATATAAATTTTTGCCATTGGGGAAGTATTCAGAGGTCAAAAAAATGTGATTTTAATAGAATACATCATAAGATCTGGAATGGGATTTCCAAAAGACTTTGAAAGACTTTGATGACTTCCTCAATTTCATCAAAGTGGCAGTCTAATGGGGAGGCTTCCAGAGCATCTTGGATATCTTAAATGATACATGACTGTTATTTGGTCCATGAAACCATCTCTGACTCTAGTTGCGGTAATTAACAGGTGGACCTAGAAACAGGCAAAAACCTAGCATGAATTGCAAGAGTTGAAAGAAAACAAACCGTAGAGCAAGATTTGGGCCACTGGTTAAGATCATGCCAGTTTTTCAGACATCATTACTGAAAGACATTGTGTTCTTACCTGCTGGCATTCAAGGATTACTAATTCTTTCTTAATTATCAGATAATTTTAAACATTAACTTTTAGGATTTTGAAAAGTATATTTTTATAAACCGTCTCAAGTCTTTTGAGGAACAAATGAAAAAACAAACTGCTAAACCCCACAAATTAGGGTAAATTAATGACTGAGTTATTTACTAGCATAATTTTATATAACAGGTGGCAGCATGAAGAGAAAAAGCATGGAACTGATAAGCACACTGAGATTGGATGCTAAAATTTTGATTTGAAAGGTCTCAATACTACAGAACAATCCATTTAACTACATTGAGCAATTCATCTAACATTTTTTGAGATTATTTCCTTATTGGAAAATAGGAGTAATACCTACACGACAATAAAATAATAGGTAGGCGAAAATACCTAGCACAGAACTAGCTCACAAAAGGCCCTCAGTAATGTATATTAAATCATGAATATAAATATGATCCAAGATGATCACATTAATTCAGACTTGATTCATAGGTAAAGTGGTCATTGAACTATTTTCACACTGAAAATCAGTATAGGAATACTGAAGGGACAGTTATTGATGTCTTTCTTTAGTGACATTTAGACTTTGCTACAGATGTTAAATAAACATCAAGTTTTCATAACGGGGATTTTTCTCATGAAATTTTTCATAAAGGGGATTTTTCTCATGAAATTACTCTAGAAAAGAATATGGTGTCTTATTATCCTACATCTAAGCAGGTTAGTTTTTTGTCTATAGGATTAGGGTGAACTAAAAGTATTAATTAGTTAATAAATAGATTTGAATTTTCTGCAAAGTAACAATTGCAAGAAGGCCAAAATATTATTACCTGAATATATTTTTATTATACAGTATACAATAGATGGCCAAAAGATAATGTGAAAAAATTAAAATGTGCAAATAATACAACTTCTTAATTTTTGAGAAATAATTTTGAATATTTATGTTTGAATTTGCTAATATGAAAAACCTATCCGTAGGTATGCTGATGAAGCCTGGCACAATGTAGGCACTAAATAATATTTGCTGAATAAATGAATAAGATGTTTCTTAAAGCCTTGTTCAAATTAAAAAGTTTAAGAGAAATCAATAGGAAATTACATGTGAGAAGGAAAAACTAATCTAGATGGTTGTAATAAGAAATGTGTAGGAAATACCAGCACAGTGGCATCTATAGTGATTCACAAATGAAATATTAGGCAATTTTTGGCAGTTGCTCATAATTTTTTGAAAAGTGTTTCTGTAAATCTATGTCCAATATACATTATGATTGGATCTAGAAGCCCATGATGATCCCCAGCCTATACAGATGAGATGGCCAAATCCTTGATTATTTTAATCATACATTTTTTAAAGTTTCAGTCTCTCCAAAAGAGATTTTTTTATTTTATGATTTATAGCCAAGAAGTTTCCTAAATATGTTAGTTTTTAAAGGCTCATGTAGATATCTCAACTTGTGTTAACAAGCCATTACAGAAATTCACTTCCCTGTGTTTCATGACATTCTTTACAGAATTCATACTTTTCATACTGTCAATTAACTGTAGATTTCATAACTGTCCATAATGGAGAAAGAAAATAGCTGCATATACCCTTTGCATACTTACTTGGAGATCATTACATATCAAATTGCCTTTTACACTTAGGTTTTTCACGTCAAATAGCACCGCTTTTTTTTCTCAGAGGTTTGATTTTCCAAGCTTAAACATCCTTGTAGTAGTCCTCTGAACTGGCCAAATTTTTCACATCCTTCTTTAGATGAAGTTCCAGAACAGCTCATTGGGGCCTAATGGAAGTTTGGAGGGCTCAATGATATTTTGCTTTTCTCTAAGCTAATTAAATGCTGAATAAACACTCTGGTAGAAAAATTAAAGCTATTTAAATTTCCAGTGAAATTGTAGAGAGAAATGTGAAGCTCTTGCCTACACCCAAATGTTGGTCTCAAGTTATCTACTGAGAGATAATTCAATAACACAGATAAACAGGAAATTTGTCTAAAGAAGGATGAAAATGATACTTTGGAATAAAAAACTTATATTGATCTCATTATTAAGAAAAACTCGAATGATAGAAACCAAAGGTAGCTCTAAAAAATAATTATAATCTTCTCTCTAAGGCTAACTTCAAACTATGTAAATGAGACCTCATCCATGAGGACTTTCCTAATCCTATAATCCTTCCTTGTATTCTCATAGCTCAATTCTTTCCTCTGCCATAGTATTTATTGCACTGCTTAGATTTTAATTTATGAGTACTTGTTTTCCTCCTTCTTTCCACTGTCTTTCATACTGCCATAATAAATGATTAAATGCATATAAAAATGTGTGATAGTTTTCAAGTACAACATGAACTTTCACACTTGCATACTTTTTATGTTTCTTCTTTCCAGATTCTTCTTCAAAGCTCAAACATCACTTCTGCATAGCCTAACTTGATGTCTCAACTTCCATCCCTAAGATAGAATTAGTTTTTCCTTCATTTGCATTTGTATAACAATTTATACATATTTTTAATTATGTTTAGTGATTATGCTTCAACCTAATTATTCTTTTCTACACTGTGCAATATTTCAGAACCGCTCCATATTTTATAATTCCATTTAACTTTTTTATCTGGAGAAGAAATACTTATGACATTGACATTTTAAATATTTTATCTCTGCTACTAAACTTAAAGCTTTTTGTAGGCAGATAAACATTTCCCCATGGCATCCTCTAAGTACCTAATCAATAAAACAATAACAAACATTCATACATGATACTAAATAAGCCAACACCCCACAGATGTCTTCAGGCTTACCGGTCCATGGCATGTGAGGAGGCCATCTTCCATCTTCTCACACTGGGGATCACACTCCACACAGATGGAGCCATTCTCAAACTCCCGAAATTCACTGTGAAAACATCAGCCACATGAGGAGGTGTAAGCAAACAAGCTGTCAGCTTAACAAATGAAGTAACATCTGCTAAAAGTCCTATTGGCAGAGTAAATTCTAGAGTTTGTTTCTCCATGTGCCAGGAGCATCAGGAACATTAAGATTTCCATTAGGAGAAAAGATAAACTGCAGCCAGATGGCTCTCCCTGCCCTCCATTGAGTTCAATGATAGACTCATTCATAGACTCTCTGCTGCAAGAGATATTCCAGCAGTCTCAAAAAAAAAAAAAAAGAAGTTACAAAGTATAACTCTTCTGATGACACAGCAGAATGATTTTTACCTTTTTCAATAAGGCTGTTCCTGTTTTGTCTTTATATACAATTTTACTCTTGGAGAAGCTTTAATTTCTAAACTCTGAAAGAACTATTGTGTTTTTCTTGTTGCTAAGTTACATGAATGTTCCCAATCCTTGTCCTTCAAATCCCAAGACTCTTCAATTTATTTTTGGTGAAACTTCAAAAACTACTTTGATTGCTCTTCTCCTTTTAAAATATCTGCCTTGGAGAATTAGAGAAACTATCTTTTTATGGTAGATTTCATTTTCTTAGATTATTGATCTAATATCACAACATCTTTTTGCAGTCTAAATTCTTTTTGAAGTAATTCTATATGGTATACAATATAAGAAATAGTTTAATGGTAAAATCCTAAAACTTTCTAATTGAAATCCCCTGGGATGGTGGTCATTCCTTCCTATATCCTTACATTTTTGTGGCTATCTGTATATTACATGCTATCAACTTGTAAATTTTATAATCAATGTCTACTCTAAAATTTTTATATCAATAATTAGATATCAGTCATCTACAATATGTTTAGACCACCCCATTCCACTAAAATACAGGAGGATAAGGTACTGAGTACAGGCAATTGAAAATACCATTTATAAATTGTTAATAAAATTTGACTATATTTAGCTACTTTATTATTTTGTGCTTTTCTGTCCTGTACTACAACTCCAAACCAACAGCATTACGGATATGGCAATTTTTCATTTATTAGGTGATATATTAAAATATATTTTTCCCTAAAGTGACGCATTAACTTTTTTTCTTATTTGAATACTATAAAGCCTTAATAAATGACAGAAGTGAAAAAGTGAACTATGTTTTCTGTTGGTTAGCTTAAGACTACATCTGTATTCCAAGGCAAAATAATTAAGTTTGGTTTTCTAAGTGAATAGCATATATGCCTTAATTATGTATGGAATGCACATAAATTTAGTTACATGGATTATGAATTTTATAAAGTAAGATAGTAGTTTGTTAGGAATCAAATTTTTTAATAAATTTCCTTGATTTTAAAATTACAATTACATGAAGACAGGTGATCTTTTCATTGACATAAACCATACAAAGTACTCAACAAAGGAATGCTTCAGAATATAAAAGTCAAAATGAGCTGATATGAGAGGGTAAATTGTAAAGATAATCAAAAGCATTGTTTGCATAACAAAATTATGACAATTATAGCACATCTTGAGAATATCCACTGGTTTTGGATAAGAGTTTCTTGGGTGATCAAAAGTTTATGGTACTAAATGAAGGTCATAATTTTCATATTACTAGAACAAAGGTCATGCTTTTCTTACTCTCCTTCTCCAAAACCCACTTCCCCACATGCAGAGTTGAGGAATAAAATATATGTCATAAAACAATCCTGGAGATGGCCTATGGCCCTTTTCTTCCAGACTTCCACTCGTCAGACTTCTGATTTTTCTGCTCTCAGGAAAGATCCTCCTTGAAATCTCTATTACATCTTCTGACCTTTATTGTGACTTTCTCCAAATTTCTCTTTTTCTTCCCTGTCCTCTAGTGATTCTACTGTGACTTTGCCAGAGTTACCCTTCCATTTGAATCCAACTTATCAATCTGTAGTCTGTTAAGTATGAGCATTGCAAACTGAGCTTTGTTGCACTTGGTTTTGCTATGATACACTTCTCACAGTTTTGTTGTATGTGCTACCTTAGCAAGTCCTGTGATCAAGAGTGAATACTCTGGAATCTATCTAGTTTTTCCAAATTTAAACCACAGGAACAACTAATATTTCTAGGCCTTAAATACTTCAACTTCCTTAAGCTTCAGTTTTTTAAATACCCTCTGTAAAAGGGAAAAATAAAATTTCATTGAGAAGATGCAATTATTAAATGTAAAAACACTTGCAAAGAGCCTTCTTTGATGTTTCTGAGTTGTTCTTAAACTTTCAGAAGAGTTTAAGCATGTTGACAGATATGAGAAGTTCTAAAGTTCCACTGCAGTTACTTATCTTTTTTATTTTTATTGCTTCAGCATTGTAGTTAAGAGTTGCTATAATACAGTGATTTATATGACATGGATTTGAATACTACTCAGCCAGTAATTGACTGATTTTTGTTTTTCCCTTCCAAAAGTCCTCTTTTTAGGATTTCTTCTCTTCTGGGGCCACACATTATATACATATATATATATATATATATATATATATATATCACACACACATGCACACACACACACATAAAACATATATGTTATATATATAACACACATATAGGTAACATATATAATGTGTTATAAATAACATATATATAATATGTATTATAAATAACATATATATATATATATATATATATAAAATATGTGTTATAACAAATAGGCTCCCTGGATTTTGGCAAATGTCATATTTATATTTGATTACTTTCAGTAGTTTTTAAAGTGACCATTCTATTTAACCATTTAATCAACTCAGATAAACAGATGAAAAAGGAAATAATGATAATATTTATGATATAAACTCCAATAAGATCTTACGCATTTTCTCATTTGATCATAACTATCCTATAAAGTTAACACCATTATTATTCTCAATTTTAATATAACAAAACCAATTTAGAATGATTAGATCTTTTGCCCAAATTTGGATGTTTCAAATAGGAAATACTGAAGTTGGGATATAAACTTGTTCTTCCTCAAAGGCTATCATAACCATTAGCTACTATTGGAAGAGACTAGCCCATACCACAAGATGGAAGGTGTCCAATCCATTATTGGGCAAGTAAGAATTACATCAGACTTTTACAAGACACATACGTTGATCATCTTTCAAACTAGCCCCATGCTTATGATTTCCTGGGGTGCCAAAATTACTGCAAAATACATTAAAAACTAAGTTAATTTAACAGATTTGATTTTGTGATATAAATATGAAATATGCTAAATATCAAAAACAGTGGGGTAATCAGTATTTCTTCTGGAAACGTGTATTTTTCTTTCGGTTAGCTTTCATTGTTTTGCAGAAATGAGACAGAAACTGGTATATACATACGCATGTTTATAAATTCCATATTTCTGAAAAGCTAAAAACTATAATATTAAACAAAAAGAATGGTGTTCTGGGGGAAAAACAGTTGAAAAATCAGATACCCTAAATTCTAGCATTGGCTTGATTCCTATAGAGTGTTGTGACTTTAGCCCATACTTAATTACATCAGTTTATTTATAAGATGCTGCTATTACACAAAATGATTTCTATAATTTCTTCTTTAGAATTGCACATATATATTCTATAAACTTTTAATGTAATATTCACTTAATGAAATTCATCTACTGTGTTTCATTTTAATTTATTAGTCTATTGTGTTGTGCTTCATTTATCAATTGCTGAACACAAAAGCAAGCATATTTTGATCTGAGGTATTTTATGTTCATAATATTGGGAAAAAACATAAATATGATTAAATGAGACAAGCAGCAAATAATTTCCTGTTCATTTTCAAATTTCCAGCCAATTTTACCTCACAAAATTAAATGCTAAAATTTTCCTGAAAAATGATTAAATTCTTATTTAAACATTTTATACTTATGCTTCTAGTATTACTATTTGCCCCTTAAATTTTATGGAGGGAATTGCTTTTGGACATCTTGCAAAGAAGAGAGATGTCATTATGACCCATAGATTTTTATTTTCTCATGTAAAATGCCAAATTAAAATATTATTAATTTGGTATCAATAGGATAATTCATGAGGCACAAGGAGAAAGAACTTCAAAAGTATATTTTCCAAAACTATTGAAAATACTTTCAGTGAGCAACGTAAGAAAATTTGACTTAGGAGCAGCACTAAAAATGCATTATCACATCAATGAAGAACAATAATGATACATCAAATAGTATGTTATGATGAAGTGATTTTATGAATATATGAAAGGTTATACAACTAGGTACTTACTAGGTTCTACTACTGGCAATGTTATTATTGAAGTACCAGAAAAAATTAAAAATACCTGATTTAAAATACTAAGATTATCTAAAAACTGACAGAACACTTTCAAAACCACTTCAACCAGAAACTAACTACAATGTTAGGTTTTCTGTAGGGCTAAGCACTTGTCAAAGACATAGAAATAAGCCATTCATATACAAATAGACATAAAAGTGAGTTGAAAAAAAAAAAAAGAAAACTTGCACTCCAGATGAAATTTATAGGGAAGTATGAGAGGAATATAAAAAATATTGGGACATATGCAGAGGAAGGTTACTTGTAACAATCTTTATAAAGAAAATTGGATTATATTTTTCAATTTTGATTAAGGATAAATTGCTATAATTTATTAAGAATTGTCCAAGTATGTTTTTAAAAAATGCATATAATAGTAAAATATGTATTTGAACTTGCCATTTCAAATAAAATTATTTATCCTTAAAAGAATTTGTCTGTGTGTTGTATCCTTTATGCAACAAGAGCTCTCCTTAAAAATCCTGGAATGCATTTTACCACTTTCTTATAATTTAAAAATCAGAGCTAATCAATCCTTCAAAGCTCATGAGGTGAAGGCAACACAAGAAGCCTTACCCGTCATAGAGGTTACAAGACTCTATGCAGATCCTTCCTCTACTGAAGCGACGACAAGACAGGCATTGGTCTGGCCCAGGTCCCCAACAGCCGTCACTTGAACACAGATGGTTGCACACCATTCCTTCGGCAGCTGTGAAACACCAAAAACAAGGGGAAATAAAACGGAGAATTGTATCAAAACTTAAAATCTCCTAGTAATGCTACTTCTAAAGGAGTTTGCTTAAAAGTGATCTGTGGTAAATGACTTTGGTGGCCTATCCAATTGCCGTGTCTCATCCTACTCTCAACTTCTTTCATTCTGCAGAGTCCTAGTGGCTGTGTTTGTACAGCAATATTGCATTTTTCATAAGGCCAAACAAAAGTGAATTGTCTACATAAACACTACTGGGAGGAGAGGTGATATAAATTATGTGTCCAAGGTAAAGTATAAACTACACTTCTCTCAAGCCAATTCTTTGCTCCACTAATATATCAAATATTTTGGCTTCTCAGTTTGAGAGCTTCATGAAGAAACTGAAAAAAAAAAAAAAAATACTGTCCTGAAACAAACAAAAAAAAGTCTTAAAAAAGGGAGAGAAAGAAGAAGAACATGTGGAATATGTGGAGGGTATGATGGGGAGAAAGGAATAGAAATAAAATACAAGTTTTCTTTTCTTTTTTTTTTTTTTTTTTTTTTGAGACAGAGTCTTGCTTTGTCACTCAGACTGAAGTGCAGTGGCATGATTTTGGCTCACTGCAACTTCCACCTTCCAGGTTTAAGCACTTCACCTGCCTCAGCCTAATGCATAGCTGGGATTACAGGCACATGCCACCATGCCCGGATAATTTTTGTAGGGTTTCACCATGTTGGCCAGGCTGGTCTTAACTACTGACCTCAAGTCATCCACCCACCTCGGCCTCCCAAAGTGCTGGGATTACAGTCATGAGCCACTACACTCGGCCAAAATATATGTTTTCTACAGGACCTTGCTGTATTCTGACTAGGTCTACCTTGCCATTGGTCAAGCCATCACATGTAAGGAAGAAGTTTTGAAAAAATATGCAGCAAATTACAGTGGCTATTTATGAAGAGGTGTAGAGATTAAAGTAGTAATAGTCTTTAGTGTTATCTATACTTTTTTGTTGTTGTTGATGGCAGAAGGTTCAAATAATTTTTCAATTTCCACTTAAGGCTAATCATCTTTGTTTCCCTTTATACTGAATATCCCTTATTCAGGATAACATTATTTTAGTGAAGGGATATTTGATATTGAATAAGAAGAGCCATAAATACTTCAAATGTTATTCTGGGTGCTTGAGGGTGATTTGAGGTATTTGAAACACAACTGTATGTGGTTTTCATGAAATACTAAGAACTCTAAAGAAGATGAAAACATCAAAATCAACTTTATCTTTCCATTAGTTACCAACGTTACTTATTATGAAATGTAAAATTTTATGGCAAGAACATTTGTGAGGTGGGTTGGGATGGCACTGAATATGGTAGTATAATAAAAGCAGGGAACTGTATCTGTGAAATCCGTGAAAGTTAACTTCTCTAACATATGCTTGAGAGAGAAAATCTCCCACATCTGTGATCCTGACTAGTTTTGAAACAGTGAAACAAATATTCCAATTCATATTTTCTTTGTCCTATATCTTGAGGTTATAAAAAGGTTCCTATGTTAAACTACGTAAAAATCTTTTCAAGGCAGACTTAGATCTATCAACAAATCTTGCTACTTCTTGAATATGTGAGTATGTGTGTCTGTGTGCAGCAGTTTTATTGAGGTATATACGGCATACAATATACTGCTCATATATAAAGTATACTATTTGGTAAGTGTTGACATCATGAATCATATCTACAATCAAGATAATTAATGTATTCATTATCTCCAACAGATTCCTCATGACCTATTGTAATTCTTTTCTCTTCCGCCATCTACTTAAACAATCATTGATCTGCTTTCTGATACTCACTGTACATTAGTTTGCATTTTCTATAATTTTTTATAAATGAAATTATATAGTATATGTTCTATTTTTATATGGTTTCTTTCACCTGCATGATTATTTTGAATTTCATCTGTTACTGCATGCGACAGTAGCTTATTCACTTTCATTACGGAGTATATTCTACTGTATGCATATATGAAATTTATAATCCATTCACCTATTGAAAGACATTTAGACTGTTTCCCATTTTGGATGTTAAAAATAGTAGTAGTAGATTACTAGGAGTATATGTGTAAAAGTCTTTGTATGGGCATACACTTTCTTGTCCCTTAGATAAACACCCAGGAATGGAATGGCTGGATAATATGGTAGGTATAGGGTTACCTTTTTAAGAAACTGTCAAATGTTTTTCAAAGTAGCTGTACCATTTTACATTCCTACTATGAATGAATGCAACTCAAAACTTAGTTTCCCCACATCTTCACCAACACTTGACGTGGTCAGTTTGTTCAATTTTAAACTATCTAATTTGAATGTAGTAGTTCCTGATTGTGGTTTTGATTCACATTTTCCCAGTGATTAAAGATGATGAATATCTTTCAATGTGCTTTTTGATTTTTATATATCTTGTTTGGTCAAGTATCACCAAATCTTTTGCCCATTTTACATTGCATTGATTGTTTTCTTATTAATGACTTGAGAGTTTTTTAAAAAAATGTATTCTGCAAGTATTTTCTCCCAATTTTAGCCATGTCTTTCCATTCTTTTAATACTGTCTTTTGAAAAGGAGTTTTTCTTTTTGATAATTTATCATTTTTGAATCATATTTTTGACATTATATCTAAAAAATTTTAGATATGCCTAATGCAGGGTCGCAAAGGCTTCCTCTGGTATTTTCTTATAGAAGTTTTATAGGTTTCATAATTATCCATATGATTCATTTAGAGTTAATTTGCACATATGGTACTGTGTTAGTCACAGTTCTCCAGAAACTCGGAACCATTAAGAGATTTTATACACACAACACACACACACACACACACACACACACACACACACACACACATTGGCACATACAATTATGAAAACTGAGAAATTTCAGTATCTTCTACCTGCAAGTTGGAGACCTATAGAAGCCAGGGGTGCAGTCCCTGTCTGTGTCTAAAAGCTTGAAATCTGAGAGGATGGATGATATAAATTCTAGTACAAGGCCAAAGGCCTAAGAACCAGAAGAATCAAGGATGTAATTTCCATTCCAAAAGCAGCAGAAAGATCAATGTTCTAGCTGAAGCAGTCAGGCACAGAGAGTGGATTCTTTTCTTTCAACTTTTTGTTGTATTTGGACCCTCAGTGTACTAGATGACTCCCACCCACGCTGGTGAGGGCAATCAGCTCCACTTAGTATACCAATTCAAATGCTAACCTCATTTAGAAACATTCTCACAGACATGTCTGGAAATGATATTTAATAAAATATCTGGTCACCCCATGCCCCAGTTATATTACATACATAAAGGTACTATGTAAGGATCTATTCAGTTTTTGTATATATTCAATATTTCCAGTATTATTTGTTGAAAAGATATAATTTCTCTATGAAATTTGCATATTTATAAAAAATAAGTTGTACAAACATTTCTGGCTCTCTACTCTCTTCCATCTATTTCTCTCTCATAGTATTTTTCCATAATTTTACTTTTAATTTAGTTGTGCTTTTATATTTGAAGTCCATGTCTTGTAAGCAGAAATCATTGATCCTGGTTTTTCTTTATTCCAATCTGATAACCTCTGTCCTTTAATTAGGGTATTTAAACCATTTGCATTTAATGTGATAATTGAAATAATTAAGTTGAACTAATTTATTTTATTTTTTTTTTCTGTTTGTCCATTCTGTTCTCTTCCTGCTTTTCTTCTTTTTTCCTATGTTTTGGATAAATAATTAAAATGATTTTATTTTCTTAGTTTTACATATGTGGTTTAGGAGCTATACAACTTTTGATTGTTTTATCTTTTGGGTTTATGATATAAATATTTTAAATTCAATATTTTGTTCTGAAATAATTGCATATTACTGTGTATTTGTAAGTAATGATACAGAGAGATCTTGTTTTACCTCATGATAAGATCTTAAAAAGTTTATGGTACAATAACACAACCAGGACATTGGCATTGATATAGGCAAAATACAAATTTCCTTCATAGCAAGAATCCTTAATTTTGTGCTTGTATCTTTACACTGACTTGTTTCCTACTTTCCCTTTAAGCTTACCACAACTTCTCATCTCTTTTCCATTACTATAATCTGGTGATGAAAAAATTTATATAAAGGAAATCATACAGCATGCAATTTTTCATAATTGGCATTTTTTTCTATTAGAATAAATATGCAGAGATTCATTTAGGTTGTTGTGTATATTAATAGTTTGCTTCTTTTTATTGATCATAGTATTTCATAGTATGGTTTACTTCAATTTGTTTATTTACCCATGGAAGGATATTTGGGTTGTTTCCAGTTTGGAGCTACTACAGTTAGGTCTCTATAAACATATATGTTTTTGCATAAATAAAATTTTCATTTTTCTGTAATAAATTCTCAGGAGTTAATTGCTGGTTTATGTGGTAGTGACATTTTAGTTTTTTTTTTTTTTTTGAAAGTGTCAAACTATTTTCTAGAGTGATTGTACCATTTTACACTCCCAACAATGTATGCATTATTACATATTTCCATCTTCTCCAAAATTTGATTTCATTACTTTTTATTTTAGCCATTATAATAGGTGTAGTAATATCTCATTGTCTTAAATTTAGATTTCCATAAAATAGGTAATAATGAACATTTCAAAATGTACTTTTCATTTGTATATACTCCAGAGAAATGTCGCTTCATATCTTTGAACATTGTAATTAGATATTATTTACTATTTAGTGCTCCTATTTGCTCTTTCTAAATTCCATCTATCTATGAAACCATTCCCATAAATTTTATAACACTAATAAGGGAAGATGGAGGGGGAGAAATGAAAATAAACCAAGTGGATGAGCACAGTGGCTCATGCCTGTAATCCCAGCACTTTGGAAGGCTGAAGCTGGTGGATCACATGAAGTCAAGAGTTGAAGACCAGCCTGGCCAACATGGTGAAACCCTGTCTCTACAGAAAATACAAAATTGGCTGGGCCTGGTGGTACATGCCT